TGGCAGGCATTACAGTCCTCTCCCTTAGTAGGGGAGGCACCGCACTCATTCCAGGGCACAGCCAGAGAGGGGAAGAGGCCGGGCATCCTCTCATGCTCCTCTGGGAGGCAGTGTTGTTCAGGATGGGGCCTGGGCAGAGCTTGAGCTGGAGAGGGATGTCTGGATTTGGGTCAGGAGTAACCAGTTGCATGACCTTGGGCAGGCTTCTCCCCACCTGTGCCGTCAGGCCTGCTCAGCTCTGACAGCTCATGAATCCACACTACCATTACTACAATATGCTTCTCAAATTCAGCTGGTCTTTCACGCATCTTTAACAAGCCAGGGTCAATGTTATCACCCAAAATTGAGATGGCAATCTTCTCTTTATGTAGCCGATATCTAAAACTATCCTTTCTTCAGGCCAGCAGTATGGAGTACATCCCTGGTTTCAGAGAACAAGGGTGTTCTTCCCCAGCCAGCTCAGTGGGATGTTGAATGGGAATTCTGAAGGAAATAAAATGAAAACCTTATAAGGTCAAGTACATTTTACAAACAGATTTTTGTTGGACAAAGTCAGACAGGTTTCTTTCCTGCAAGACTTGTCAGAGCCTTCAATACGCTAAAGTATACTGTGACTTGAAGTGTGTGGAGATCAGGGAGCAGGGTGTGGAGTACAGAATTTGATTAGTGGTACCACCCCTGATAATGAGCATTTGTGAGGTGTTTACAATGTGGTGGAGGTCAGAGAGCATGGTATGTGTTGACCAAAAGGGTTTAAGCACAGGACCTTTCTTTGCCATTTGGTATTTTGGGCATAGATACGTATATCTTCACCAGCCACTCCTCGGAAGGAGGGTTGGGCAATCTTCTTCCGTAGTGATACTGTTTTGGAAGCCCAAGAAAGGGTCACTGTGAGTTGGATCCAACTCCACAGCAGTGAGTTAGTTTATGTGTATCTTAAACATTATTAGAAGCTACAATACATACACTTTAATGTCCAATTTTTTTTACAATCTGTGTTGTATCCCATGTTAACTCTTAGACTCTGGAGTCAACTCTGAGTTCCACTCTCAGTGACATTTTTGAGCAGCTCTGTGACCCTGGGCAGGATACTTAACCTCTCTGAGCCTCCATTTCCTCATTTGTAAAAGGAAGATGACAATAGTACCACCTCTTGTGATCACTAGAGGATCAAATGAGATTCTTGCTTGACACAAAGTCAGAACTTGGTAAGTGTGACTCTTCTCATTTGTATTAGGAACATTCCTTGTGGCTTGGAACAGTCTTTGAAACCTTGATAGTTAAAATCTTTATAACATTCCATCATGTGGATGCACCTTAATTTCCTCAACCATTCTGGAAGTGAGTGGGGGGCAAAAACAAGATTCTATGAAGAAAGGCAGGTCTGGCGACTCTGAAGCCAGCAGGTTAGCACAGGTCTGCAAGGCTGGTGGAAGGAGGGGCTCGTCGCCAGATTGAGATGAGCAGTCTGTTTCCCAACTCAACAGCCTTGTCTTGGAAAGCCAGCCTCACAGACGAGCCCTGTCACCAGTCAGATGGAGACAAACGAGGGGACGTGGAGAGGCAGGAGCCAAGACAAAGGGTCTGGCAGGACTGATTTATGGGAGAGGGAAGATATATGGAGTTAAATATGCGTTGTGTGGGTAAGCAGAGGCTGAGGGGAGATACCTCTGACTGTGAGGATTTAAGAAACATGATGCAGGACAGTGAAAAATGTCACTCGGCCCAGTGGAAGGGGTGGGATATGAGACAGAGGACAAATGAAGAGCTGGAGAAGAAATGCCGGTTAAACATTCAGAAAACAACCTTTGAGATGATGGGAGCTTGTGAGGGGTATGCCTGGTGGGCAGTACCATAGCCCAGGCCACTGTCCTTTGTCACCTGCCAGGACACAGCCTTCTCACTGGTTTCTCTACCTGAGCTCTTGTCTTCCAAACAAACCACTCTCCATGGAGTGGCCCAGTGATTCCAAAATCTGGACCAGAGCAGGCACTTCAAAGTTTCCAATGACTTTCAATCCCTCACGGAATTAAACTCAGCCTCTGTGTCATAGTCAAGCCCTCTCCTACCCGCTAGGCCCCATCTCAGACAACTCTTTCCAGCTTCATGGGTTGAGCTTCTCTGAGCCCCAGGGTTTTCCCTCATGCTCTTGCCTCTTTCTAGAAGGTTCTCCCCTCTTGCCTGGATAACTCCTGATCTTCCCTCAGGTCTTAGCTGAAAGCTCTGTTCTTCCTAGAAGCGTATCCTTCTCCCCTCAGAGTAAGTTAGGACCCACCCCCATGTCATGCCCACCTTCATATAGCTTGTTGTTGTTACGTGCCATCGAGTCAGACCCAACTCAGCAACCCCTCCTTGGGTTTCCGAGGCAGTATCACTACAGAAGTAGATTGCCCAACCTCACTTCCGAGGAGTGGCTGCTAGGTTTGAACCGCCAGCCTTCTGGTTAGCAGTCAAGTGCCTTAAGCACTACGCTGCCAGAGCTTCCCTTCATATAGCACATGAACACTTATAACAATTGAAATTAATTAGATTTGTATGGTGCCTTGTTTTTAAATGTATAGAAAATCACGTAGAAAGTAGAGAGTTCCCATGACATTCCCCTCAACTTAGTTTCTCCTATTATTGACACCTTACATTCCTGTGGTCCATTTGTTACAATTGATGGACCAATACTGATGCATAATTATTAACTGAAGTGCATAGTTTGCTGCAAATGGTTAAGCACTCAACTACTAACCAAAAGGTTGGTGGTTCAAACCCACCCAGATGCATGTTGGAAGAAAGGCCTGGGGACCCGGTTTCTAAGGTGTACTGCCTTGAAAACCCTGAGGAATGTGGTTCCACTCTGCATATTTGGGGTTTTGCCCTGACTCAGAATTCACTGGGCAGCAACTGGTTTGGTTTTGGTTTTCAGTTTACATTAGGGCTCTCTCTTTGTCTGGTACAGTTCTGTGGGTTTTGACAAATGTGTAATGTCATGTATCCTTCCACAGTAGCAGAATCATGTAGAATCATTTCTGAATACCCCTGTGATTCACCTATTCACCTCTCATCCCCTCCTCCTAGACTACTACTGATCTTTCTACTGTCTTCCTGCTCAACCCTGTGTCCCATCAGGGACCCATCTGCCTTGTTCACTTTATATTCACTGTTCCCAGATTAGAGCCTGACATACACCTGGTGCCCCATAAATATTTTTCTTTGCATATTTTATTAAAAATAGGATTCTGCTAAACACGTTATTCTGCAATTTGCTTTTTACAAATATTGACAATATATCTTGGAAATCTTCCCATACCAGAATATAAAGCACAATCTCTCTCTCTTTGACTTTTTATTATGGAGAATTTCCAACCTGCATACGAAAGTAGAGAAAATCTACCATAATGAACTGCCATATACCTGTCACCCAACTTCAGTAATTATCAACTCATGGCCCTTCTTGTTTCGTCTGTGTCTCTACCCAAGTCCTTTTCCTTGTGTTATTTTGAAGCAAATTGCAGACATCGGATCATTTCATCTTTAAATATTTCAATATATATCCCTAAAAGATAAAGATTTTTATAAACATAACCACAATACCATTATCATACCTAATAAGAATTAGTTCAATATTATCAAATATAGTCAGTGTTCAAATTTCCAATTTTCTTATAAATATAATTTCTATTTGTTTGTCTTTACAGTTGGTTTGAATCAAGATCCAGAAAAGGTCCACATGTTACAACTGGTTGATGGACCTTTGAGGTTCCTCTTAATCTAGGTCCCTTCTTCATGTTTTTCTTTCATTTTCTTGAAATTCATCTGTTGGAGAAATGGGGTCATTTCTTCTGGAGTGTTTTCCTCAGTCTGGACTTTGCTGATTGCATCCCATGGTATTTTGTTTAGTATGTCCCTCTGTCTTCTGTACTTCCTGTAAACTGGTAGTTGGGTCTGGAGGCTTGAGTGATGCGGGTTCAATTTGTTTTGGCAAGACTGCTCTGTAGGTGGAGGTGTGCTCTACCACTGGGGGTGCTCCCTCTGGTGCTCCCTCTCTGTGCTGTTCTCAGTGGTCCAATGCCTGGAGCCATCCCTTCATTGTTATTTTTAGTTGCTGTCCAGTCAGCTCCCACTCCTGGCGACCTTATGTACAACAGAACCAAACATTACCCAGTTCTGTGCTGTCTTCATGACCGTTGGTATGTTTGAGTCCATTGTTGCAGCTGTTTTGTCAGTCCATCTCATGGAGGGTCTGCTCAGTGATCTTATTCTGTCAGTCCTTCTTCAATTATTAGCTGGAATGTTTCTACAAAGAGAACTTCCCCTCATTAACTTTTTGGTTACCCTGAGGTATAGTTGATATAGGACAGGCAGGGATAAATGCTTGATTCTCTCCCTTTATTTACCAGTTTTCAGAATAATGAGTTGCCTATAAATATTTGAATGGATGAATGAATAATACATGCATGGATGAATTGACAAGGGTTTGGGAATCGGGGCTTCCCTCTGTCTGCTCTCAAAGCCAGAGGCCTGGGCCACAGGCTGAGGGCAGAAGTACAGCCACTGTCCATAGCAAGGCTGATGTCTACATAGTGGGAGGCAGGTGGGCATCTTTTGGTACCTTTCAACTCACCTGGGTCATGGGTAAGACAATCAGACATTGTCTTACAAAGAATAAACATAAGCATCTGGGACAAGGGCATCTCAAAGCCCCACCCCAACGGAGAGGTAAGAACCCCTGAAACCACCGCCCATGAGGAGTCTAGACAAATGCAGAGGGTCTAGGGCAGCTCTCATGCTGGGGTAGAGGCTCAAAGTGCTATTGTTCCCACAATGGAGAAGGAGGTGGGGATTTTCAAGCCTGAAGGAGTGTCAGGACAGGTTGGGTAGAGGCCTCCAGGGTCCCTCCTAGGCCAGCTCCAGCACCCTCAGAGCCCCTCCTGGCTTTCCTTCCCCTGGTGGCCAGGAGAGCCTGCCTTTAGCAAGCTCACTGATATCTCTTCTCCCTCTATATCCCCCAGGTGCAAGTGTAACTTACATGCCAACCTGTGCTCCGTGCGTGAGGGCAGCCTGCAGTGTGAGTGTGAGCATAACACCACCGGCCCAGACTGTGGCAAGTGCAAGAAGAACTTCCGCACACGGTCCTGGCGGGCCGGCTCCTACCTGCCGCTGCCCCATGGCTCCCCCAATGCGTGTATGTACCAGCAGAGTTGCTGCCATGACCCAGACGCTGGTCTACCAGGTCGTGGTTTCCCCTATCCTTCAAGTCCCAAGAGCTGTGGATTTCATATACACACAGAGGGACACATACACACAGAGACATACACAAACACAGAGACACACAGATAAACACACCACAGACACACAAACACAGAGAAACACACACCCAGACACACAAATACAGAGACACACACAGATATAGACACACAGGTACAGACACACGGACACAGAAACATACATAGAGAGAACCACACAGACACAGACCTACACCCCCTTGGTACATGCTTCCCTAGCACCAGGCCTTGTAATCTAGACTCCAGATCACGCCTACATTCTGCTGAAATCTAAGCCGCCCTTCGGGCCCTGTCCTCAGGGAAGACAGATGCAAGCTGCTCAGGCATCTTTCCAGCTGTCCTTCCCCTTCTTGACCCTGAAGGCTTCCAGGGTGTCAGGGACTGAGGGTGGTGGAGACCCCCACTCCAGGCCGAATTTGATTAGCAGCACCATCCCCAATAATGAACGTTTGTGGGTGCTTACAGCAAACAGTCCTGATGTTGGTCTTGTGGTACCCTGTTTTACAGAGACATGCTCTGAGGCCACTCGGCCCCCAGCCCGTGCTATCTGCACAGACTTCTCCCCTTGCTCAGCCTTTCTGTTCCCAGGAGAGGCGACCCTCAGAGCTTACCCACACATCCATGCATCATGAACACCCTTCAAGAGACCCCCACTCATGGGGGAATATTTGGTGAAAGTCAGGCTGGGCCCCGGCATAGACATGGGGTAATTCCACAGAATCACAAAGCCCAAAGTTTCCCCCAGCTGGAAGCTGAGAGGAGCCCAGGCTGGCCCGAGGGATCTCTCCCCAGCCCCACTCACGTGTGATCTTTCTCAAGTGTGACATTTCTCAAGTGCCTTCTGCATGCCATAGGCTGCCCCTGGCACTTCATGCCCGTCATCCATTAACCTTCACCACCAGCTCACAGGGTAGTGCTCTGGTCACCCCACTCTCCAGATCAGCCAGCTGAGGCCCAAAGAGCTTCAGTGCCCACCCCGGGGAGTTAGGTGTCAGCACCAGGGCTCAGGTAAATCACTGGGTCTGACTCCAAGGCCAGGGCAGCCAGGCGGCCTCCTGCCCCAGGACCTCCCTGCCTGCCGAGGCACACTCACAAGAGCCGCTCCCTCAATGGGTGAAAGATTTATGTGATGTTAGGCTGATCAAAGCTGAAAGCAACGCAGTGAGACCGTGACAGGCGTGCTGTGCCTGTGCCCCGGAAGGCAGCAGTGACAGGCCTTTAAAGGGGCGACTTGTCAGGCGCTGCAGGCGCTCATGGTCTTCAAAGGTGCAAAGCGAGCTCCAGGTGTTGACAAGCCCCCACCCCCACACACACCTTTCCTGAGTTCTGTCCCTGTCTCTTTGTTGCCCCGAAGCCTTCCTTCATTCCTTTCTGCCACTGTCACTCCTCTGACTCCTGCTCTTGCCTTCCTCTCACCCCTCCTCTTCCCTCCCCACCCCCTCACCTTTCTCCCCATCACTTCCAGCTTTCTCGCCACTTGGCCGTTTCTTCTCCTGGGAGAATGAATGCTCCAAGGTCTTATCGACCCAGCTCCCACAACCAACTGAGACTCACAGGCCTGGCTCCTGGTCACACTCAAGAAGGCCCACTGCCCCCTGTGGGTTGGAGGCCAGCCCTCCCTTCTGACCAGTGATGGTCAGACAAGCTGGTGGAGACTTTTGTCTTCAGCCCTTTCTTCCCTCCTCCCGGCAGGGGAAGCTAGAGCTTCCTTGTTTGGGAGAAGGTATGAGTTTTCTGTGACTGCTGTAACAAAGTACCACAGACTGGGTGGGCTTATAAGAACAGAAATTTATTGTCTCACAGTTCTGGAGGTCAGGAGATCAAGTTCAGGATGTTGGCAGAGCCTTGTTTCTCTATCCATTCTTTTTTCTTCTTCTTCTTCTTCTTCCTTTTTTTTTTTTTTTCCTTTGTTATCTGTACCTCCAATTCTCTCTGTCCATTCAGAGGGAAGATCCTTGTTTCCTCCAACTTCTTGTTATTGTTAGGTGCCATCAAGTCAGTTCCAACACACAGTGACCCTGTGTGTTGACACTGACTGGTCCCGTGCCATCCTCACAATTATTGCCATATTTGAGCACATTGGTGTGGCCACTGTGTCAATCCATCTTGTTGAGGGTCTTCCTCTTTTTCACTCACCCTGTATTTCTGGTAGCCCTGGGCATTTCTTGATGTTCCTTGGTCATCTTCTTTTAGTATGCCTCTGTCTCATCTGCTCTTTTATAAGGACAGCACTCAGATTGGGTTAGGACCCACCCTCTTCCTGGATGACCTCTTGTCAACTTAATAACATCTTCAAACACTATTTCCAAACAAGGTTACATTCACGGGTACCAGGATTAGGACCAGGGCTCAGCTTAGAAGTCCCTGTCCTGGCACTGTCCCTCCCTCTGGGCCCTCACCCCGTCTCCTGCCTTTTCCCACCTGAACATGTACCACACACTCATGTCCTCACCTGCTCATTCCTCAGTGTGTACACACCCCTAGGCCATGCCTCTCTAGTGTACCATCATTGAGTGAATGAATGTGTGCCCAGTGGGCTCATCCTCCCGGGCCTCCCTCCAGCCAAAGCGCAGCCCTAGCTCACCCAGGAGAGGCCCCATGCAAAACTGGATTTCACTGGGGAGACCACAGCGTCTACCCCAGAAGGGCACCATGGGGGCTTGGAGGTGTCCTTATTTTCATCATTTCTAAAGAACTGCACTGGTCCCTTCCCTTTGCAGCCATGGTAAGCCATGACTGTAGGCCTCCCCTCCCCTTTCTCTCTATCTCTTCTGTCTCTTTTCCTCTCCTAAGGCACAGGCACACACCAGAGTCATAGGAAGGGGACAGTAAGTCTTGGTGGTAACAGCTTGAGTTTTGCATGGCCTTGAACAAGTCAGTTTGCCTCCTGAGCCCAATTTCCTCGTCCACAGAGTCAGGATCATAATAAAGCCCCATTGTGGGGTCATTGTGAGGCGTATGTGAGCTCATATAAGGAGAGGACTTAGCACAGAGCTTAGCACAGTGCTTGGAATATACCAAACCAAAAAGCAAAGCAGTTGCCTTTGAGTTGATTCCAAGTCATAGTGGCCCCATGTATGCAAAATAGAACCGCTCCATAGGATTTCAAGTCTGTGACCTTTTGCTAACAGATCAGCTGACCTGTCTTCCAAGACCCCTCGGGTGGGTTCAAGCAGACAGCCTTTTGATTAGTAGTCACATTTAACTGTTTGTACCACCTACACACCCCTGCCTGGCACATAGAAAGCACTTAGCATGTGGTGGTTACCACGATTATGTTTTATTAAATTATTGGGCCACACCTGCATTTCCCCAGATGGGAATACCCATGTGGTTTACCCCTAGTCGTAAATCCCATCAAAACTCCAGCCAGCCAGTCTGCCCTGTGACTGTGACTGATAGATTCTCTGACATCCCATCACCCCTTGGAGAATGCCCACCCACCTCCACCCAATTTCCATACCCTGCATTGGAGGACCTGGAAGTCTAAAAATAAGGGGAGCAAGTATAAAGCCCCTAGCAGTGTTTGATACTTAACAGCAGGTCCCATTGGGTAAATCATGGCTCCGAGACTCAGTTTCTTCATCTGCTAAATGGGGCTAATGGTGGTTCCTCCCACTCAGGGCAACAGTGAGAATGATGGGATAACCTGCCCAAAGCAGTTGCAATGGTGTGGGCTCAGAGATGCTCATCATCATTATCATGTGCACAGGGTCAAGGGGTGGGTGCCTATGGCTTTGGGTTTCTCTTCCTTCACCTGATGGAGGGACTCCTCCTCTGCCCTCACCACCCCTGCTGTCCCATCCTCTAAACAGGGGAAATGGCAGGCATGCCTTACTCCTTGGCAGTGCTGTGACCCTGTCCTCTCTCCCACAGGTGCTGCTGCGGGCTCCGCCTTTGGCAGTAAGTACATCCCTGGGCCATCCACCCAGGGAAGCTTCAGGGACCCTCGTTGCAGAAGCCTCTCTGCATGTCCTGGGACGAGCAGGGTCGAGCAGGGCCTTTAGTTCCCCTCTGGGCCTGCGCACCACTCAGCTTCTGCCTCTAATTGTGCTCCATGTCCTTCTCGAGCTCTCATCCCATCCTTTTGTCACTGTTTTGCTGTGGCCTGCAGCCTGCTGCCTCTTAGTTTCTCCCCTTGAGCTTCATTAGTGCTGCTTTGGAAAGTGGAAGGGGACTTTTTGCAGGTCCCCTTGACCTCGGGGTGAACTCCCTTCTCTGCTGGGCACCCCGCCCTCTTCTGTCACCTAGACCTGGGAGAAGCTTCTCTCCTGCCAGGCAAGAGCTGGGGTCACTCTCTTCCTTGACCTGTGGCAGAGTCCCCCCATCCCATAGTCTGACCATGGAGTCCACCTCTTCCAGGCAGCCTGTGGCTCCCACTTCTGCAGCTGGCTTTACCATAGTGCAGCTGGGGGAGGTCAGTCCTGTTCCCCATGATCTGGTCATCCAAATAACCTCAGGTCTAAGGGCATGTAAATCCAGGAACGGGGCATCTGAAGGAATATCGGGAGAGTCCTAGTCCTGCGAACACAACAAGGCAGGGTGAGGAAAGGGTGGGCGTCCTGGCAGTCCATCAGTCAGAGTTGTCATTGTGGCTACTGCTCATTAAGCACTTACTGTACCAGGCACCATGGCAAGCAAGATGCTCACAAAATGCAGTCACCCTCCAGTTGACTACAATTCATGGTGCTCCTATGAGTGTCAGAGTAGAACTGTATGCCATAGGGTTTTCAATGGCTCATTTTTCAGAAGTAGGTCACCGGGCCTTTCTTCCAAGGCATTCCTGGGTGGACTTGAACCTCCAGCCTTTTGGTCAGCAGCCAAGTGTGTTAACCATTTGCACCACTCAAGGACTCTATGATGCTCATAACCCATTGCTGTCAAGTCAATTCCAACTCATGGCCACCCTACAGGACAGAGTAGAACTTAAGACTTGTTTCTAGGGCTATAAATCTTTACGGAGGAAGACTGCCACATCTTTCTCCCACAGAATAGCTGGTGGGTTCAAACCACCAACCTTTTGGTTAGCAGCTTAGCACTTAACCACTGTGCCACCAGCACTCCTGGGATGCTCTTAGTACTTCATTTAATTCCTAAACTCACCCTCCTGAAGGATTGTCATGTGCCCTAAGACTCAGCAGTGAAGGACTTGCTGGTGTCAAGTGTCATCAAGGGCAGATCCCAAATCTCATAAATGCCACCACAGGACACCATCACCTGCCAGGGTTCTTGGAGCCACAAGCAGTCAGTTGCCTTCTTTCCCCAAGATGCCCCCTGCTGGGATGCCAGTGGGCAGAGAGGGAGCCAGGGAGAAAGCCAGATGCCAGAGGGGACACGTAGCTGCCAAGTCAGACGTAAGCTGCTTCTCTGTGGTGCCCCATCCCTGCCACCCACTTTTGTCTCATCTCTCACCAGGTGTTGGCAAGTCCTGGAAAGACCCTGTCCCCAAAGTCCCTGCGGCCACCGTGGCCGTGAGGGAGGACCCCACCACTCCTGTCCCCTCCACATCCACTGTCTGGGCCCTCATGGCCACCAGCTCCCCACAAACCACAGGTGGGTGCCAGGGTACAGCCAGTAACCCTGCTGCCCTGCGCTTTCCCGTTTTCAGCCTGACTCCCTGCCTCTCACCTTGGTGCCCAGGACAGGGCACAAGCTTGGCTCTTAGACATAGAGAACGCTAGAACCCTAGAGCTGCAGGGACACAGGACAACCTCTCCTGGGGCCCTAGCTGGGGGATTCAGGGACCACTTCAAGCTCCAAATAACTTCTTCTTCCTGCCTCTCAAAGACAGTGCGTGGAAGGGCCCTGAGACCAGGTGGCCCTTTGAACAAGGTGACCTGGGGAGGAGGGTGGCTGGAGGGCCCCACTGAAATCCTACCACACTCAGAGCCTGTTTCTGAGGTGTGCGCACCTCAGCACTTAATGCACCAACTCCACCCTAGCCTCCTACACCCTCCTCTGCCCCCAGGCCCTCAGCAGCTGAACTTACCTGTGGGAATGGAATGGACTGAGTAGGCAAGGCAGAAGGGAGCCCCGTGGAGCAGAGCTTTTCAGACTGCGGTTGACTGGACACTCAGGGCTGAGCATGTGGGCCTGAGGCAGAGTCAGGACAGACTCCTGTCCCCACTCAACTGGAGCAGCCTGCTCTCAGGGTTCTGTGGCTACAAACATGTTTGGAAACCCCTCCAATTCTAATTCCCCTCTGAAGGGGGGATTGGTGTGTATTCAAGACCTGGGGTGCTGAGGCACTGTGGCCCTGGGGTCTCACCTGGTCTCACCTAGGGGTCTCACTAGACCCTGCCCACCACTAGTGCTAGGAGTCTGAAAGGACTCACCTTTTCCAGAGGGTGCCAGGAAGATGGTGGCCAAGAGAAATTCTTCCTGGTCCCAGCTAGGAGAGGGTGACCAATCCTGCTCCCCCACCCTACCACCCCTCCTGTGCAGGGAGGAGATGGTGGGGGTTCCTTACTCCTTGGGCAAGACTGTGACCCTCCCTCCTCCACCAGGAGACATTTGCAGGTGGCAGGGGCCAGCCAGGAGATTTGAGGATTTCAGGGTAGCCTGCTGGCCCAGGAATCCTCTTGGGGGTAGGGGGTGGGGTTCACTCTGGGGATCCCAGGCTTCAGGCATAGTTGGCCTAGGCCACCTGTGACTTGCTCTTTTGCTGAGCCTGTGGTGGGCAGACAAGTAGCAAAAATAGTCACAGAGGGTGCTGTGTCTGCCTTTAAAGAGTGGTCTGTCTCGGTGGGAGCCAAACATTGTGTCTCTATTACACACATACACAGACACAGAGTGACCTTGGATCCATTTTTAGAGCTGCTTTAGGTTTGGTACAAGGGATAGAGGGCAAATTATGCAAAGCTGGGAGTTCAGAAGAGTCAGCTCAGAGAGGATGAACCTTGAGGAGGTAAGATTTTAAGTGTGAGGATCCCCAGGCCCTAGGTGGGGAGGAGAAGGCAGTCCCTCCCACAGGCTGCAGTAACAAAGACTTAGGAGGTCATGGTCAGCTTTGTAATCTTGAGCCCACCTCTGTTGTTGTTGTTATGTCGGACCCGCCTCATAGCAACCCCTCCTTGGGTTTCCAAGGCAGTATCACTACGGAAGTAGATTGCCCAACCTTCCTTCCAGGCCCAGCTCTGAGCAGCAGGGAATTGAGGGGAGAGGGAAGTTCCAGTGCCACAATGAGGGGCCCTCCCAACCCCATCTAGGTAGCTATCACCTCCTGTAGCAGCCGAGTCTACACCTGTGAGCCCTGTTGTACCTGGAGCCCCTGTTAATAAGGACAGTCATTCCAGTTGGTGAAGAGTGGACTTCTCCTGGGCTAACAGCCTCACAGGTGTTACTGTGCTCCTTGCTTACAACCATGTGGGATGGGGGCTGTTGCTATCCTAATCCCACAGGTGAGGATACCAGGCTTAGAAAGCAGCAGCTGGATTTTACAGGATGTAAATTACACCTCAGTGTCACTGGGTGCCAGAGAGGTGACTTTCGACTCACAGCCACCCCATGTGACAAGGTGGAATTGCCCCATAGGGTTCTCTTCTAGCCTATAGTCTTTCTGGAAGCAGATCACTAGGTCTGTCTCCCACAGAGCCACTGGGTAGGTTCGAAATGCCAAACTTTTGTTGAGCCGCCAAACACTTAACCATTTTGCCACCAGGGCACCTTTATATCATAAAAAAGCTGTTTAAAAGAAAAAAAAAAAAAAAAGAGGCAGCTTCTCAAGGTCCCAGGATTCTAAAGGGGCTTGAACTCAGGACTCCCTGGCTCCACATGCTGCTTGCCCTCTCAGCCACCCCAATGTGACTGCCCTGAGGCCTGGGGGGCGGGCAGGGGCGGGCAGGGACTGCAAGGTGGTGCTGTCTTGCACAGCTCCCTGCTGCTAAAGGAACAGCCGGGCTTCCATCTGGCCTTGGCACAAGACACAGGCCTCCATGAGGACATTCCCCCCACCCCCGCCCCGCATACCTGAACAAATCCCTGGGGAGCCGAGTGGGCAGTCTTTCCCTTCCCCAGCTCTCGGACCCTGGAAATGTCTGGGTCTCTCCTGGCACCTCCCAACAGGTGCTTCAGGGTCTTTGGCCAGAGTCCAGCTGGGCCCCTGAACTCCTGGCCCAGATGTTTCTCCCCTTGCCAATGTCAAGCTGTGTGGAGGGCAGAGGCTGCTGCGATGGGCTGCTCAAGACCCCTAATCCTTTCCCCAGCTCTGCCCGTGGAGGGCGGGGTGAGAAAGGCTCAGAAGCAGAATGCCTCCAGGGCGAGTTTTACTGCAGCTCTAATTAAGCCCTTGTCAATTTGGGCCCAGCCTGCCTCCTCTCCTCATTGAACACTGTATTAATGTCAATTTGATATCCAAAGGCTCCCGGCTCCCAGCTCGAAAGTCTCCTGCACTTCTTAACTCGTAGATGTTCTTTTTCTTTCCCCACCAGCCATCGTTGTGCATAATCCCTTTAAGAAGCGGAAAAATCAGATTTCTCCCCCGTCCCTCTGGGTTTGTCCTTTGAAATTCAGCAAAGAGCAAGTTCTTGCCTTTGCCAGCACTGCCTTCTCTCCCTGGCTGTGTGTCCAGTTAGACTTGGAGATGAGCAGTGTGGCATTTGGGGGTTGAGTCACATTGGGGTCCCCAGTACATTGGGCCCAAACTGGGGGGCCAGGTGGGGGGTGGGTGGGCAACAGTGCCAAGGATTTGAAGGCAGTGGCTGGGAGGTAGATCCTGGGATTGGTGCTGGACAGGAAGCCTTCTAGAACCCTTCTGGATGGGTTTGATGATTTTGACCAAAACATACACACCCCATCCTACCTCCTTTGTAGCCATTAGCCAGAGATTTCAGCATAGAGGCCTCTGGGCCCAGACACATGTGACATTGCCCTTCAGATGGAACAGGGACCACAGGGAGGGGAGAGAAATTGGCAAAATCAGGTATCTGCTGAAGAAAGGATTATGTAAATATGAAGGTTTCCAGGCACAGAGGGGCCCTTCCCATCTGGCTTTAAGTGATGTGTGTCTGCCACAGGCGACAGTAGTATAGATGCTTCCTCTATAGTAGATTGGGACCCAGTTCTATTTGGCCTGTATGTGTGACATGCCTTAGTGTGTCCCCAGAAGTCCCCAGCCAACCCCTCTCATAACTTGGTTTTCTTCTCTTCTTTCCTCCAAGAGTGGACAAGGTCATCCACAGCCGCCCTCCTCTGGGAGAGCCCCCCGTGGCCCCAGGTGCCCTCCAGTGCAGAAGGTATGGGCAGGGCCTTGGCTGGCTGTAGGCTCCCTGAGCAGCTCCTCCTTAGACCCTAGGCCCCTCCCCTGTAGTGGAGATAGTAGGGGGACATGGTGGGGACACAAGGTGGGATGGGGGCCGAGGGAAGGAGGTATAGAGCCATGGTCCCCTTGGTGAGCTCTGGAGCACAGCAGCAAGGCGAGGTGCCCTGGAGCCCTACCCGTCGGTCCTACCCCTAACTTGTGTATTTAGATTGGCCCAGCTTCAGGTCCAGTAGGGACCCTGCTTCCCACAACCTAAACCCTCTCTCTGGACAGGATATACTGGGCAGTCTTTGATGGAGCTCAGAGTCTGAGAGGGTGTCCTGCAGGGGCCAGATGAAAGTTAGACCTTGAATGGTGGTTGACTCTGAGCATATGATGGGAGAATGGAGTACATTCCAGATAGCGGGACCAGCAAGGTCAAAGGCTCAGCAGGGGAATGGCAGTAAGGAACTAGCTGACAAAGATGTGCTGGTATAATGAGGGTCAGGGAGTGCATTAATATCCCTGGAAGGCCTTGACTACAAAGCTAAGAGCCTGGTCCTCCCACTGGCAGTAGGAACCGTGCATGGGCTTGTTTGTAGCTAGAGATGGACACACATAGGAAACACACACAGGGTGTGCCTGTCTCTCAAGTTAGGCTGGGAGGTTATCTCCAGCCCCAACTCATCTATTGGCTGGGCATTGGAGCTCTAATGTCCTGGCTTAGGCAGCAACCTCCGGCCACCTATCCCTCCCGAGTACCGAGTACCGCAAGTTCCCCTCCCGCCCCAGCTATGCACAGTGAGCAGGGCTTTGAGCACCCTCTGCTGGCAAGTGGTTTTGGAGCTAAGACCACAATTGGTGAGCATCGGTGTTCCCAACAACCTGGAGGCAGCTTGGTGATGGAGACTAATAGAGCTGACTGGAGCCATCACCCCAGGCACTGGGGCACACAGACTGCCAGTAAGAAGCCAAGACGATGCCCCAGGACAGAGGCATGCTCACCCACAAATACAGGGTTGAGGACTCAGTGGGATTCGGGGAAGTGAAAGGCTGGCACCTGTTCGTGTTCATGGATTGAGAGCATCTGGGAGTGGGGAATACATGGGTGGAAAAGGACGCAACTTTGACTAGAGCAGGAAGATTGCTTCACAAAGGAAAGGTGATGCTACCTTGAATGTCAGGTCCAGACTTGCTGATGCTCAAGCAAGTTTGGAGAGAAGAGTGGAGAGTGAAAATAGAAGGGATGTTTTCAGTCATTCAAAAAGTTCAGCATCAGCTAAGTTCTTAGCACACTGCAGGCCATGTTGGAGGACAGAGAGGCTGTGTGGAAGGATTAACACAGCCAGATGTGTAGACAGCGTTGGAGGATACAGGAAGCAAAGGCAAGGCCGATTCTCTGTAGAGGTGCTGTGTCACCTTCAGCAAAGGTACTTAAACTGCTTCTGTAGGCTCTGAGGCCAAAGGGACCTCTCCCAGCATCAGATCTGAGCAGGTGACAGGACTGCCCCAGAGCTTGCCCAGGGCATTGTCTTGTTAGCTAATGCTGCTGTAATAGAAAGACTACAAGTGGGGGGCTTTAACAAATGGAAATTTATTTTCTCATAGTTTAGGAAACAAGAAGTCTGAATTCAGGGTGTCGATTCTAGGCGAAGTCCTTCTCTCTCTCCCTCTCCCTCTCCCTCTCTGTTGACTCTGGATGAAGGTCTTCCCTGAGCTTCTGCTCCTGGGCAACCTTCACGTGGCTCGGCACGTGTCTCCTCTACCTCTGCTTCTCTCCATGCTTGTTTAATGTCCCTTATATAGCATAGTGCCTAAGGCACTTGACTGCTAACCAGAGGCTGGCGGTTCAAACCCACCAGCCACTCCTCGGAAGGAAGGTTGGGCAATCTACTTCTGTAGTGATACTGCCTTGGCAACCCAAGGAGGGGTCACTAAGAGTCAGTCAACTCGACAGCATATACCAACATCATATCTCAGAAGAGACTGATTTAGAACACACCCTACACTGATCCTGCCTCATTACTATAACAAAGAGATGCTGTTCCCAAACAGGATGATGACAGAATGGGATAAAACAAAACAAAAAACCCAAACTCACTGCCATCGAGTTAATTCCAACTCAGAGTGACCCCCATTGGGTTTCCAAGGTGGTAAATCTTTACAGAAGTAGATTGCTCTGTCTTCCTTCCTTGGAGTGGCTGGTGGGTTTGAACTGCCAACTTTTTGGTTAGTAGTCATCAGAACTCCTTAACCACACACAGAGGTTAGGATTTACAACAAATATATTTTGGGGACACAGTTCAATCCATAACAGGCACCATGACCTTGGCTGGGCTTTTCCCTGGGCCCAGATACCCAGCCTGGGCAAATGGACCATGGCTGACAAAAAAGTTTCTTATTTCCCCAAGCTGTGGGAATTTCTGCCACAGCCCCTGCCAAGGTCTCCAAACCTTTCCAGCTCAGGCCCAAATCTCCTCAAGTGATGCCTGTTGAAGAATTTCAAGGTAAGAGGAAGTCCTGGGGTAGGACCAACCCTCCCCAAAGCATTTCTCTCTCTACCTCCACTGGAGCAAAAAAGGTACAAGATGATCGATACCTGGCTCAGAAAACCCTCCCAGAGTAGCTGGGTCAAGGTTAAACTGAGCCTGTCTTCCCTCCAGCCATCCCTCCCCAAGGGAGCTGGGAACAGGTATGAGTCAGAAGCTCGGTGGGCAGGCCACTGGCAGGCGGAGTAGCTGCCAGAAATAGCCTGTCCCGGCTCCCCTGGGAGGTGTGGCCCAAGGGCTCATCTTGGTGGAAGGCAGGATCTGGGACACAGGGGTCACCACCACTGCTCCTTGGGACACTTGGAGAATGTTCCACCTTCCCAGTGTCTCTGGAGAGACAAGGTAAAGGAGGCTGTCCCAAGAAGCCCAGTGGTGCAGAAATGCCCACATCTCCTCCTGAGTACATCTCCACAGCTGTTTCTTCGAAGCTTCACATGCCCTTGGTCACCGAGGGCTGAGTCAGTCCCTTTCTCTTTTGGCACAACAGGGAGGTCGGGCCCTCCAGAGATACACAGATAGTAGATGCCACCTTCCTTGTTCAGGGGAGTGTTGCATACCTTAGGAGGGACACCAAGGGATGGCCGCCCTCCTTGCAGCAAGGAAAATAATATGAGGTGACCCTCCTCACCAAACCCCATCCCTTCATGATGCCAATTCCTAGGAACTTTGTGCCAGGCAGTCCTAGAACTTGCCCAGTCCATGAAGCAGAGCCGGACAGGCAGGGTGAGTCTGAGAAGCACCTGGGTGGAGACAGCAGGACACTGAGCTGATGGTCGTCCTCCGTGTGGAGTCGCATGCCTCCACCAGCACTGCGAGCCGGCGGCGGGTCTGGGATGAGGGGAGGCGTGCACCAACAGGTGCCCAGGACCAAATCTTAAGGAGGTGCTCGCTTTCAGAGTCGTGGGAGAGCAGGCCCTCTGGTGACAACCAAACCTGTGGAACAGCTCAGGCCAATGTGAAAGGGTCCTATAGGTGGGGTGGGACTTTTCCTTCCCACCATCTTCCAAAGCAGCATGGGAAGGAAGCTCTTTCTGGTTCATCCATCCTGTCTGGCACTCATGCATTCATTTTTCCATCCACTTAACCACTGAGGTTACAGGGGTGAAGGTGCTGAGCGTGGGCTCCTCGCTCCCTGCACTTCCAATCTAATGGCATGGCTCAGGTGTTACAGGAATCATCTCCCATCACACTGCATGCATCCTTCAGAGAGCACTTTGTACCTGGCCAGGCCTTTACGAGGTACTGCTCACTGGCCCTTTCTCAGTTCCCTGACAAAAGGGAGAGGTGGGAATTTGGGATTCTAGGACTGGTTCTCCTTTGGCTTCAAAGCTGGCAGGCCCCAGTGTCTTCCAAAATGGCATAGGACTATTAGAGGCCCAGGGCACCTTCCTGTGCCAGATCCTTTTCTAAAGATACTTGCCTCCCTATGTGTCCTTGGGCAGCTCTTCTTTGCCCTGTGCCTCAGTTTCCCCAAGTACACTGTATGGTGGGGGCAGTGGGAAGAAGATGGCAACATGAAGGCACATTTCCCAATATTCCTTGACCCTTGTTGTTTCTCCTGCTTGGCCTGACCCAGACTGTGAGTGCTACGGCCACTCTAACCGCTGCAGCTACATCGACTTCCTGAACGTGGTGACCTGCGTCAGCTGCAAACACAACACTCGTGGCCAGCACTGCCAGCATTGTCGCCTGGGCTACTACCGCAATGGCTCCGCAGAGCTGGATGATGAGAACGTCTGCATTGGTGAGCCAAGCCCTGAAGCAGGCGGGCTGCTGGGGCCGGCCAGGTGGGAGGGCCTTCTCTCCTGTGTGCCTGACTATGCACAGGTTACAGGGTTGGTACAGCAGTGTTAGGTGTGTGTTGGAGACCCCTAGCATCACAATCACCTGGGGAGGCTATGGAAATTCTGATTCCAGGGCTCACTCCATCTAGGGGCTGAAGCCTTGGAACTGGCTCTCTTCACCTCCCCCAGGCACTGGAGTTTGACAGCCACTAGTGGAGTCACAGCCTGAGTTCTAGAGCTTGCCTCGCTGTGTAGGTTTGGGCAAGTCACCTTCCTCTCTCTGGACCTCAGTCCTCCACTGGTACAATCAGGAGGTGGACCACATCAGAGGTTTTCCAATCTTTTTTGTGGCTAACCCTTTTCTTAATACAGAATTCTTCAATGTTTTATGGGCAGAGGTCCTGCTTATAAAACTGCCACCCACCCCTGGTAGGCACCAGGTTGGTTTTTTGTTTTTGTTTTTTCAAGTTCTGGTTCCAGGACTGGCTTTTGGGGCAGTGATGGAAGTATGGGGGCTCTGTGCTTTCATGCATGGGGTGATCATCCCAGAAAGGCCAAACCCAGCCTCCACCCTGCCAACCCAGAAAGGTTGCCCACCACTTTCCATCTGGTCTCAGTAGAAGGGAGGTCTCAGCCCCAGGGGCTGCCCCCAGGTACCTAGCCCTCTGGGAACCCATTTCCAATCCCCCAGGCACCAGGCTGGCTCTGGCTCTAAGAGGAGGGGTTGCCCACACAGCTGCAGGCTGTCAGTCTGTATTATGGCTGCCACTTTCAGATAATTACATGAACTCCAAAGGGATCATAATGGAATCTTGCTGCTTACATTACAGGGGGTCAGCACCAGGGACAGGGTGGTTGGGGCCTTTGGAACCCATTAGAGGTGCCCTTCCCCCCAGCACCCTCCTCTCCTCTCCTCCCTGCCTCTCTCTGCCTTCAGTCCACTTCTCCTCTCAGGCCCAGTAATCAGTTGCAGACTCAGAGTGGGGACATTCTCCTCCCATAAAGCAGAGGCTCTAAGAAACCAACTGGGGAGGGAACGGAAGGCCCTGGGGCTGCTCCCCCACCCAGCCTTGACCTGGAGGTATTGTTGTTATGTGCCATCGAGTTGGCCCCGACTCATAGTGACCCCTCCTTGGGTTGCCAAGGCAATATCACTACGGAAGTAGATTGCCTAACCTTCGTTCCGAGGAGTGGCTGGAACCGCCAGCCTTCTGGTTAGCAGTCAAGTACCTTAGGTACTATGCTACCAGAGCTCCTGACCTGGAGGTATAGATGTGGTCTACTCCTCTTGCCCCTCTAAACACGCAGGCACACCAGAGATCCCCAGTAGCTTTTGATGAGGGCGCCTCCTGCCTGGCAGAGTCTGAGCTCTTTGGAGCACCTCCTTCAATTGCAGCTGCGGAGGCCAGAGAAGGGGAAGGGGCTAGGGCTGTGGAGTGGCATGGAGGATGCTGAGGAAGGAAGACCAGGTTATTAGCGCAGCCTCAAAACCTGGCCACCCAGGCAGCCTTCACTCGCCCGCCGTCCAGCCCATGGGCCATGCAGACAAAGTGTGGGGGACCACTGCCCCAGAAGACTAGAGGTCCGGGAGGAATGTGGGGAGGGATGGGGTAGGGAAACGTGGGGAAGGCACCCCAGGCCGCCCTCACCGCGCGTCTGTGTTCGTGTTCATCCAGAATGTAACTGCAACCAGATCGGCTCCGTGCATGACCGCTGCAACGAGACAGGCTTCTGTGAATGTCGAGAGGGCGCGGCCGGGCCCAAGTGCGACGACTGCCTCCCCACGCACTACTGGCGCCAAGGCTGCTACCGTGAGTGCGCGCCCACCAGGCCCGGTTGAGGCCCGAGATGGAGCCTGAGGCTGCTGGGGGTGGGGCCTGGTCCAAAAGGGGTAGGGTCTGTGTCGGGTGGGAAAGGTTTGCAGCCAGGAAGGTAGGCTGTCGGAATAACAGCCTAGGGGATACCCAAAGGACAGGTAGGCGTTAGCCAGGGGGAAAGGATAGAAGGGCGCTCGGGGCATATGGAATAACAAGTGCCAAGTTCTGCAAACAAGAAGGCAAATGCATCTGAAGAGCTGCACCAAGGCCAGTGGGTCAAAAGCAGACAGAGCCAGGGCAGTGGCCAGGTCATGCCTGACCCATGGTACTATCCAAGGAAGGACGTTTCCTACTGAGCCCAGCGCATCCTACGCCTTCTACACGCTCTGGCCCAGGCCGCGCCCCAAGGGGTTCGCACGCCCTACTCAGAGAAGCAGGGGGTGAACCAGGCCTCACCCGCGTCCCCAATCCCTTTCTCCTGCCCCGCAGCCAACGTGTGCGACGACGACCAGCTGCTCTGCCAGAACGGCGGCACCTGCTTGCAGAACCAGCGCTGCGCCTGCCCCCGCGGCTACACTGGCGTGCACTGCGAGCAACCCCGCTGCGATCCCGCGGACCAAGACGGCGGCCTGGACTGCGACCGCGCGCCGGAGGTCGCCCCGCGCCTCGCCACCCTGCTCAGCTGCCTGCTGCTGCTGGGGCTGGTCGCCCGCCTGGGTTTCTGAGCTCGTCTGGAGGACCCTCGGCGGTGAAGGCCGGTCCATGTGCCAGGCTGCGCCCTGTGCCTGATAGCCCGCGGCCCGAGAGCCCAGGGACCGCGAGGGCCGGCGTCCTAGGGATCTCGGGGGGCAAGCAGGGTGCGGCACGAGCTGCTCCTAGGTGCTACTCAGCAGAGTCCTCCGCCTGTCCTTCCTCCCTCAGTGGCACCTGCCCCCACCCTGGCACTGCCCTCCCTCTGCAGCAGGGGGCGCTGTGGAGTCCTGGCACCCAGCAGCCTATAATTTTGGTTTCATTTTTTCTATTACCCACCTCTTCCCTTTTTATCTTTTTGTTTTGTTTTGTTTTGCTGGCGGTGAGACAGATGGGGAGAAACGCTGCCCACTCTAACACCCCCAGGTCCTGCCTCCCAACACACACACACACACACACACACGCACACGCACACGCACTTGACTGTTGCAGACACCCCCTGCGTCTGTCCCTGGTTTCCATGAGCCAGTGGACCTGGAACTCCAGTTGCCTACAACTCTAGTCGCTGACTTGATTTTCTTTTATATTGTTTTTCTTTGCAGCCCCCACCAGACGCCAGGCCTCAGTGAAGCTTGGTGGCTGAGGAACTCACCGCCTGGGGAGGAAGGGAGAAAGGCGGGTTGGAAGGGTTTGAAACTTTGTTTTGTAGAGAACTATTTTTGTTTGTGTTAACTGTCCCCTATAAAGAAGAACCCATAGGTGGGAATGCTGGTCACCACGGGGCAGTTGATGGTATATAATCCGACAGAGTAAAGAGTCTATTCATTGCTGCCTCCAGGGCCTGTTTTCTTTCTGTGTTCATGGACACATGGTTTGGGGCTTCAAGAGGAACCCATAAACTAGCCTTAAAGAAACTATTTCATTACCAGGGCCACTACTTCCTCAGGTGGAGTTTCTGAATTAAACTGGGCTGTGCTTTTCCCAGCAGACCTAGCACAGCCCCAGGGCTTGGCTAGCAGACCTTTCTCACCCCTTGGCCAGGCATGGCCCTGCTGGTGAACCACATGCTAGAAGCTTCCCGAAACTTCAAGGTTATCTCCCTGGGTGACCTTTTTCCCTGAAAAAAGATCCAGAGTTCATTGGCACTTTCCTTTAGTCGTCCCAAAATTTAAAATCACATCCGTGCTGGACACTGTTGTTACTGCAGATGTCCAAGGGAAATGAATCAGAGAGCATTCTAAAAGAGGTTGAGTCCGGTGCTCGATTTATGAATGTGTCTTAGTGGCTGCCCAGGATGGATGCATCATCTCAGACCCGCTGGCCCTTGAGCCCCAATAGCAAGCTCTACGTGATCAGCCTCAGGTTTCACCTCTGCTCTTCTGCTGCTAGCGCCCTTCCATTGCTCCCTACTGGCCAGAGATTCCCAAGTCAGGCACAGGCCGCCAGTGTAGACAATGCACAGATCACCCTGCCCTTCCCCTTTCCCTTCTGAAAACCAGGGAAGGGAAGACAGCTGGAGAGTTGTGAGTAGAAGTTCCTGAGACTCTGAAGTCCCTCAGCCTAGGCATTTGCTATGGTAACATCCCTTGGACGTCTTCAGCCCCACTTAGTGTCTCCAGCCCTTGGCACACACTTCTCCCTGCTTGGCCTTGAGAAGTTCAGGGTTCTCCTCCCACCTATTTATTTCTGAGCAAGCCAGGGAAGATTTCTACCCCGGACTCATGTCCTGGTTCGTAGTTACTCCTACAGTCCCCGCCTGAGGTTACCCTCCTGCACTGGTTTCTGCCAGCTGCAGACACTTTCCAGGCTGGGAAGTTTAGATTTGAGTCCCTCCCTCAAGTCCCCAGAGCAAAGCTAAAACAGTTTACAAAACTTGACCATGGAGATAACAAGAGATTACAACACAGAAAAGGAGGGAGGAACTATAATTAGATATTAAATATGATATAAACAACATCTCAAAGCCAAACATCCCATCCTTTTAGCCCCCTCTCTTAGTTCTCAACCCTGCCCAGGTTGCAGGGGCCATGCCCAGCCCCCAAAAGAAGTACATCCTGTTAGGACCTCTGGAATTCTCAGTCTCCATCTTCACTTTCTTCCTAACTAACAGAACCCCCACTTCAAACACAAACCCACTGACAGCGACCCCTCTTTTATGGAACTAGATTGCTCCATCTTCCTCCTGTGGAGCAGCTGGTGGGTTTGAACCACTGACCTTCTGGTTAGCAACCAAATGCCTTACACATGGTGCCACCAGAGCTCTTTGAAACCCACTTAGAGAGGCTCAAAGTGCTCAGCTAAAACAGGGGTCCTGTGGATGGGGCGGCCATGGGAGATGTAAGGAGCAATGGGCGGGGCTTGCAGAAAGTGTCTTAAAAGCCTCCCCTCCTCCTGCCTTCCACAAAGCCTCAGTTGGCCAAGTTTTGGTCTTTGCTTTCCCCTCTTGGGCCTCCCCTTGGTTTGCAGTCAAACATGGGGGCTGGGATGGGCAGGAATCACTTGGCAGCCCTGAGTGGGGTGGAGCCAGGAAGGTCGAAGTTGCCTTTCTGAGGACCTAGCAGATCCAGGGACACCAGCCCCGGTTGTTGACCTCCGCACTTCTTACTGTGTGGGGGAAAAAAAATAAACTTTGATGTAGTTAAAACTCCGGAATTTGGATTTTCTATTACATGCAGACTTACCAATTCCTGATTGGGAATTCCACCCAGCATCTAGACACCTGAGTCTGCTAAGGCCCAAAGATAGATGAAAACAGCCCCCATGTTCAAACAACCTGCCTTTCAGGCTGAGGAGTTCAAGACCTCACTATCCTGAACTACCTCTTTCCAGAACAGGACCTTTAAATGACCAGAGTAGAGGGGCAGACTGACTTAAACCCATCTCTAGAGAAACACAGACATTGGCCACAGCTTGTAAACAACAGTCATCTTCCCTTTACTCATCAAGCTACTTAAAAACATAGGGGTTCTAATAAATAAGAACCCTGGTGGCACAGTGGTTAAGCACTTGGCTGCTAAACAAAAGGTGGGAGGTTTGAACCCATCGGTGGCTCCACAGAAGAAAAGACCTGGTGATCCATTCCTATAAAGATTTCAGCCTAGGAAATCCTCTGAGGCAGTTCTACTCTGTCATACTGGGTTGCTATGAATTGTAATAGACTCGATGGCAAACCACAATATACAAACAATAAAACACAAAAATAAATACATTTTAGAAGAGAAAAAACAAAGTAGTCACTCCAGTATCAGCTAGAATCACACCACACACACACACACACACAAGACCTATACATCACTTGGGTGTGTCTCTGGAAAGCCCTAGACTCCTGAGGACTCCGGAAGGAGAGGAGCCTTAGTGGGTGCCCACTCCATCCTCCCTGACCTCTCTTAGCTGGGCCAGTGCTGTGTCAGCTTCCCTGGGACTAGTCTTTGTGGATTGAGGGCGGGGGAGGTAGAGCACTGTAAATCAGAGTGACAGCCCACGTCCCAGGGGATTTGGCTCGGGCCCTGACCTTGGCTGCAGGGTGGAAGGAAAGTGGCCAGTGGCCATTAGGAAAACTCTGACACCTTCCAAGCAGCAGGGAGGAGGAGAGAACAAGGTTAGTGGGGCCAAAACTCATAGGCCAGCCTCCCTTGTCTTTTGTCCTGAGAGTTTATATTTTGCCCCGATTCTGGGAGGTCAGAAAGCTCCCCTTTCACAGCTGGGATAATTTTAGCCAAACTCACTGCCATCGAGTCGATTCCGACTCATAGCAACCCCCTTTGGGTTTCCAAGGCTGCAAATCTTTACAGAAGGAGATTGCTTCATCTTCTTCTTGAGGAGCAGCTGGTGGGTTTGAACCACTGACCTTCTTGTTAGCAGCCAAATACCTTACCCACTACGCCCACCAGAGCTCCTCTATGGTTGATGAGTTCAGGCTCTATACACTCACAATTGCTTTCAACCCTTGCCATCACCCTCAAACAAGTATTCTCAACCTCAGAGCCATTGACTCTGGGGCTGGAGCATTCTTTTCTGTGGGGGGCACTGTAAGATGGTCAATGGTATCCCTGGCCTCTACCCACCAGTAGCAACCCCATCCAAGTGGTGACAACCAGAAGTGCCTCCTGATATTGTGAAAATGGAGGGCAAAATGTCCTCAGGTCAAGCACCCCGGATCTTAAAAAAAAAAAATAGCCAGTGCTATAGGGTGGAGTCCAACTCACAGTAACTGCCAGGTAGTAACTCTTGAAGGCAGGCCAATCATCAGGCTAGCAGTCAAATGCCTTAGGCACTGCACCATCAGAGCTCCTACCCCTCAGATCTAAGACAGCTGTATCTTCAGCCAAAACAAGGTCAGGAGCTGACTGTGGAACAGACCATCAATTGCTCATATGCAAGTTCACGTCGAAGCTTAAGTAAAACAAGTCCATGAGAGCCAAAATATGACGTTGATTACATCCCACCT